TCCTCCTGATTACATGTACTTTCTTTTGTTTCTTCCCGAGATCGTTTAGATCCTTCACCAAACATACCCTAATTGTACCGATAATTAGGGTATATTTTTTATTTTATAAAAATAAACCGAAAAAATACTGAACCGTACCGAATAAATTTGTGAAAAATATATTTATATACTACATTCAAAAATAATAAAACTCAAAATCCTAATTCCCAGACTTATTATGCTACTCATACTGAAACTAAGTTATTTTCAGTATATTCACTAGCAAGAAACAAACTATTCTTGCGATTATGAGTAGCAAACTATAATGTATTGAATATGTTTACTTTCATATGATTTAGATTTATCTTTCCGAATGTTTAATCTTTATAGACTTTATTCTTGAGTTTCAACTTGGTTAATATCTTCCCGCTCGTGTTATTTATATTTTCTTTGTCTTTGCTTAGTTTCTTTTACGTTGCTGTAGAATTGTTGATGGATCTATACTCTCGCCATCTTTCGTGTTTTCTTAATTCATCACCATTTAAACAGTAAAAATATCTAGAGAATTTTGCTAAGCCCTATATAAATACGTATATTATTGCATTCTACTTCTACTAGTGACTTTTACATATCGTTTAAAAAACTTATCGAAAATTAACCGAACGGTACTGACAGCGAAAAGAAACCGACATAATTGAGACAGTTTAGAAAAGTCAAGTTTTGATTATACATAATAGAATAACCGAAAAATTGGTATGGTATAAATTTTATAAAATAAACAGCCGAACCGAACCATTGACACCCCTACTTCGTATAGTAGGTTAGCAAGACACACACATACATATATATGCCCCTAAAGAATATCGTTTTGAGGTGATATCCAATTTAAAAATAAATAGTTAGCAAAACAACATCATAAAAATAAAGTAAGAAAACAAATAACAAAGGTACCAAATATATCAAATTTTAACTACTTATACGAGTGCAAATTTTTCTCATGTCCTCAATTTAAGTTTTTACGTTTTACTCATATAATTAGTTAAACAATAAAAATGTAGCAATTTTAAACACCATAACTAAAATAAAAAAATAAATCTACTAAAATAGTAAATAAATAAAAACGAACTAACCTTACCTTTATTTTAATCAAAGAAGAAGAATAAAGATACACAACTCTATAGATTGCAAAAGAATTTAAAGTAATTAAACAAAATAAGAAGTACTATTTAAAAGCTATAAATTTATAGCCCCAAATTATTAGAATAATTTCAGTATAATTCTCATGAATAAATTTAAAATGGAAACAGAACTAATAATGTTCGGATATTATTACATTGATTTAATTTGAACTTAAAATAATATGACATCCACAATAGAGAAGTGTATTTATGCTCTTCGTGACCTGAGAAACTAAAGTGGAAATTAATTTATTTTTGGCAAGGCTCGAACTCAGATGGTTGCACAACGATTGATCCCGCTTCACCGGTGAGCCGCCCTTTCATCATTCATCAAATCAAATTCATCTTTCTTTATATAGACAAATTTACTATGAATTTATACATGAGAATAATAATTTTTTTTGACGAAGCGGATTTAATTGAGCAGTTTGATCAATATAGGTTTGTCCCTTGTGGGGAGCTTAGTGATTAGGCATAATTTTAGGGAATGGAATAAGGTAGCACAATTTTTGACATAGGAAGGATCCAAGCAGGGCAAACCTGGTGATTTGGTCCATCTACAGGGTTTCTCCTCTTTTTGTTAATATAAAGTAGGATTTTATTTTTCGGTAATTGTAATAATTTGGCTAAACTTGGAAACCTTATTTTTATGGCTTTTAGTTACTCTTTCCGTCCCTATTTATATAACGGTATTTAAATTTTGAGGGTCACACCACTTTTTCTTTGACCGTAATTTTTATATATTCTTTTTAAATATTTTGAATTGTTAATTATTATAATTTATAATATTTTTTTACATAATTTTTAAATATTTAAATTTTATTTCATAAAACCTTAAAAATATTATATCCGAAATCAACTATGCGATATAAACTGGGACACATGAGTAACTGCTTTTACAAACAAAATTGTCAAATGAAGGATTAGAAAAACTTTTGTGGGTCAATTGCAGATAAAACCCACGACACAACAGTCCTTCAGTTCCAATGAAGACTACTGTTCTGCTTAAAAGTCTCCTCCTAATCAGCTGGTTCTTTTTTCATGTCTCCTCTACTACTGACTTACCCCTTGGAATCCATCCTCTAGGTTTTCCTCCTCATACTGCTTAAATTCTTTTAAATTTCTTGAAATAAATTCTTGAATTTTAACTACTCCGTTGTTATTTTGCAGATGAGAAGTACTATGGTTTGGAGGTGATCAAATGCAAAGATGGGTCTAATTCCTTTACCAAAGATCGTCTCAACGACGACTTCTGTGATTGCCTCGACGGAACTGATGAGCCCGGTAGGCATTTTTTTATATATATTAATTAAACTATGTGATTTGCCTATAAGCTTAAACTTTAGAGAGATACTACAACTACAACAACAACAACAACAACAAAACCGGTGTAATACCATGATTGGGTATGGGGAGGGCAGTGTGTGTATAGACCTTAACCCTATAAACCCTCAGAAACAGCACTTTTAGAGAGATAGCACATTCATTTATTTATTTATTTTAGGTTTGGTATATGCTGGAATAAACTTGTATGCTTTTTCTTGGAATAAACATGTGGAAATATTATACTTACTAATGTGTTACATTGAGACTCAAGCCCTGCTGCTCTGACCATATTGAATTGTGTGAACCATCTTATCTAAATGTTTAATATGTTGAGGGAGAACACTTTATTTTAGGGTTGTAACATCCACTTGTTCATTACTTGTGTATGAGATATTGATATTAGTACAAGTATGCAAAACATTATAGGCAAGAATGGGTTGCCGTGTGGATTTGTTTGCGTTAACTCCTAGGCCGAAGGGTCAACTTCATTACAGAAAACTCCATATATCGGAAGGCCTCCAAGCATGCACAAATCACACAGTGAGACCGAGAGTTCGCCGATGTCAGTATAAACTATGTTAGTTGACATATGTCATAGTTTTGCAAAAGGCGTGCAATATGTTCTCGTTCAGGTCATATGTGAATAAAGAAGTAAAAATGGCATCATAACATCTTGATACGTTTCAAAACCTCCTTGTTATGTCCAAGGGCATCTTCCGCTCATTTCCAATAACAAGTCGTGCCCTGAACTTCATGGAAGCTAGAATGAGTATAGTTCAAGTGGCAAAACCTTAATCGGAACATTTAATGCTAGCAAATACAACATTCTTCTCATGGGTTGATGATTCAACATGAGAAACTGCGTTGATGACCTTGCTCGAGAAAGTTTCAAGAATTTCATTTACCTCCTTGGACCATTCGGAAAGGTGAAGGAAAGAGTCAATGGTTGTCCTCACTAGTCGGAAGGCACCAATAATTGGGATGAACTTTCAATGCAAGAACTTTGGCGCGAAGATTGTGCTTGTCTCCAGTGATCTCGAGATATGGATGTAGAACCTCGTGTTCACTTGATAATAAAGTCGTGGGTTAGCTCTCAAAGCTGCAAACAAAGAGAAAGGAAGAAAGAATTAAAAATAAAGAACATAATGCCTAAAAGACAATGAGCCGAGGGTCTTCCGGAAACAACCTCTCTACCTTCACATGGTAGGGTTAAGAATTGCGTACATAATACCCTCTCCAGACTCCACTTGTGGGAATACACTGGGTATGTTGTTGTTGTTGCTACCTAAAAGACAATGCACTTGATTTTAAGGCTAATATTCAATATTACCTGTGTAAATCCAAATAAAATTTTGGGCTCAAGTTATATAAGTTATATTTCCTGAAGTCTGCTTTTTAATGGTCCAAGTAGCTTGTAACTTGGACGTGCCTTGAAGGAAGTATGATTTTTATTGTCAAGATGCTCTAAGCTGTGAGAGTAATGTCCAAATCTTGAACTGACTTTGGAAAAGTACATGCGGAAACTCAAAGAGAATTAAGACATGATTCTTATTTATTTCGTAGTTCTTGAAGACTGCATTCCACGGCACAAGTGTCTTGTAATTCGGGCTTGCCTACTACGAAAGATGAGTTTTTCGTCAAGACGCGTAAAAGTTGCGAGAGTCAGAACGCCCAAGTCCAGATTAACTTTGAAAAAGTACCATCGTAAATCTAGAGAAAATCAAGACTCAGTTTTTATATATCTCATAGTTCCTTTTTATATATCTTTTAGTTCCTAAAGTCTGCTTTCCAACATCGTAGATATTTTGCAATTCCGATATATTTTCAGAAAAATATGATTTTTCAAGTGAAGACGCCCAAAATGTAAGGGATCAATGAATCTGAATTCAAAATTGAGTTTCAAAAATTACCTGAGAAAGTACTGATGATTCTGACTATGAGTTTTATAGATGATGCAACACTGAAAGTATAGTTTCGGTAGTGCAAATGGCTTGAGTTCAATTTTGATGATACCTTACGTTTGCATGTCGTCAAGAGAAAAATCATACTTTTCAGTAGATATATCGGAATTGCAAGTTGTTTGCGTTGTAAGTAGACATGAGGAACTACGACACATATGGAAACCAAGTCCTGATTTTCTCTGGATTTACATAATACTTTTTTAGGTCACTTCTGGATTTAGATGTTCCGACCCTCATAGATTTGAGCGTCTTGACAAGAAAATCATATTTCGATGGTGGCAACGTCCAAATTACAACCCTCTTGTGCCGTTAGAAAGCAGACTTCAACATCCTTCTCAAAAAAAAAAAAATGGACCACAAGAACCACGAAATATACAAGGATCAGGTCATGATTCTCTTTGGATTTACATAGGTAGTTTCTATAGTAAGTCTTGTATTTTGAAGTTCTAACCCTCACAATTTTGAGCCTCTTGATGGAAAAAAAATCATATTTTGGTGTAGGCATGTTCGAATTACAAGCCGCTTGTTCCATTAGTAAGGAGACTTCAGAAAATACAACATATGTAAATCAACTTGAGTAAATTGTATTAAGTTGATGTCTTCTTTCTTATAGTGTATGTTTCAACTTTTTATACACCGTGACTACTGCAGGTTTGGTTTATGTTCAACACAGTATTCAAATTCAAAGTGTTTCTTCTTGTTAAGATAATATGTTTCAGCTCTTTTTTACGCTGTGCTAAATCTAACTACTGCAGGTTTTAGTTTTTGTTTAACACATTTTACAGATTCCAAGTGTTTCTTAAATCTTAAACCTAGAAAATTTTGAAATGAGTGATGGGGAAACTGTTGTATTATTTTGTGTATTTTGCATCGTCATATATCATGATAAATCTCATGTAAAATAGAGAAATATATCTAACCAAAAAGGAATTTATTGGTAACTAATAGGAATTTATTGGTACTAATATATTTAAAAAGAAACTTAGTGATGCTATGAACTGGCAACTGTGCTACAACTAGCTGCCTATTATTTTCTTTCAGCCTCCCGTTACCAGAGGAAGGAAGTGATCATATTGATAAATGTGGACTTCTTATCACTTGGTGCAAATAATTTTCTGTTGTCCAATGGGATAAATACTAACGAAGAAGATACACGTATTCTACTTAATCATAGGTACCTCTGATCACAGTTGGTACTGAAATAAATGTCATTTTTCTGCCGTTTCTTCCATTTATTTGCTTGTAAGAGGTAAAATGGTGGCATGACATCAATAATTCATGTCATCTGCCAAAATTGCCAACAAGGGTAGTCTCAAAATGAAAAAGGGATATGTTGAATATGCCATTTTCTTTATATAGACTAGCCTAAAATTGTTTTGCTACGCAGTCGATGAATCTTCAAATGTTGCTCGGCAGATACAAGATATGATAGTTTTGCATGGCATCTAGGAAGAGAACTCCAGTAGTGACTTCAAAATGTTAGATTAGACTAGCTCCATTAGATATGATGGGTGAAAGTGCTTTGAACATTTGGATGCACTACGTGTAAACTTGTGTGTTTCACATGATTCACTCTTTTCTCTTTTATTTGTACATTTTCTGTTACTTTTTCCCATCTCCTTTGATGGCTTTGCAGTTTTTAACGAATAAAATATTGATGTATATTTTGTTTGAGTTCTCCGGTCAACTAAATCGCTCTCTCCTTTGATAGGAACAGCTGCCTGTCCAGCTGGGAAATTTTATTGCAGAAATGTGGGCAGTACGCCTAAATTTATGTTCTCTTCTCGCGTGAATGATAATATCTGTGGTAAGCGCTCCTTGTTAAGCTAGTGTGGGTTTTTTAAAAAACGATTTTATATAGTTAATTTTTGCTTCCATTTATGTGTTATTTCAAAGTTTAGCCTCTTATCTGAGACTTATTTGTTTCTTTGATACACGGATTCATTTATGTGTACGTATTGAATGGGGCTGTATGCAAGCTTTTTGGCTGCAGCATTTATTGATTTGTTAATCTCTATCTACCCTGTGGTTGGGTTCATGCTTGCTGATTCAAGATACTTTCAGATTGTTGTGACGGAAGTGATGAGTATGATAGTACTGTCAATTGCCCCAATACTTGCGTAATGGGTGGGGATTTTTCTTATCGAACAAGAAGTTATGGTTCACGAAGAAAACATCTCGATCTAATTGGTGGAAAAAATGCTAATGGGGGCAATATGGATGACTCGACTCCGAGACTGCAAGGTATTCTATTTTTTCCCCTTTTTCTGTAACCTTTGGCATGAACTGTGAACCATCTCATGTAGCAACTATTTGATGTTTGTTCATTGCAGGTCTGAAGATACTGGTACTTGTACAGGTGGTCGTTATCATTATTTTTCTGGTTTCCCGGAAATTATATCGCCGATCCAGGTTTAAAAGAAGACATTTGCGTTGAGAATTGATCCCAAGATTACTGTTATTATCACAGTATGTTCTCAGTAAGTTTCTCCGTTCCTCTTTGTCTTTTGTTGTCTCCCAACCATGATTATTTGACCTAACTTCAGAGTGCAGTTGTGTTCCGTAAGGCATAATTGTATATCTAATAGATGGCTGCAACCTGAAGGTCCAACTTGCTGATTGTTGACGTTCTTCTTTTAATGATTCTTACATATATCTCTATTACGACGGGATTGTGACAACAAACTATTAAGCCCTACACCAGTTCTCAAAGTATCATGTTATTAACTGCTCCTATGAACTTTTGACTATCTTGGTCGTTCGAATGGACAAGTAAGTTGCGTACTGCAGAGGATCTCATTGCATTGGGCATGTATGGAAAATCAGTTTTGTATGCTAGCTGTCTGCTCCGACAATTTATCTTTGACATTATACAATGTGAAATTGTGTATTGTGCTTTTAATATTCCTGCAAATGGACAGGGAGAAAAAAAGATTGTAACTAGCAAGATTGGAAGTTTTCCTATTACTTTTAAAAGCTATAGCCATTTTTCTTGAAGGTGTGAGAGTGTTGATGTGCGATACACGGGTATACTTTTGAGTTATGCAATCTTTAAATTATTATTTGTATTGTCTTGAACTAGAGACCTCACATTCGCCCTTCCCAAATTGCTCTGTTTAGGAACCTCAGTTATTGAAGCTTCATGATAAATGACCAACATTTGTATCTGGTTCCGAAAAGGAAAGAAATACCTTCATGAGGGAAAGAATATAACCTGGGACTTGTTGGTTGCATGTTAGTCATATCTTATGTTATGCAGCATAGACAACGGCTGCCAGTTAGTCAATGTTAACACAGAAGAAACTAGCTTTTATTGCTCCATAATCATAGTCACAAATTTCTTGATTGTATGTCATTTTTGTTGGACTAGTTTCGCCATCGTAGACTAGTTTCTCCATCGTAATACTCACTTTTTTTTAGCACTTCAGTTGTTTAAACTTTTATTTGACAGAAGGATACACCAAATTATATAACATTGACAACTCAACAGGAGGAGCTTCTTGCACATTAATATTTTCTAAGATTCCGTAAGAGGTTAGCTAAGATTCATGGTAATGACACACATTACTCTCTTGACAGTTAACCCACACTTCAACCCAGCTACTACCCCACGGATGCTTGACCAGCCAATACTTATTGCCATTCTACAGCATAGCTAATTACTGTCACTCGTTGATCTTGGATATAGCCAGGATTGATCATTTTAGAGTAGCTGTGAAAATCTTAAATTCTTAACCATTTGATTGTGGCTGCCAATCTGGGTTGTTTGGTTGCTGCAGCTTGTGTAGCTTCCTCTGCATTGTGGGGTACTGTGATGACCCAAAAGGTCATCTTATATTTTAGAACTTGATTCTGCGCTCTTAAGCCTTAAAAATCTCATTCTTACCCTCCTCGATTTGCGTGTGCAGTCCGGCGTGTTTCCAGAAAACTTTTATATTGAAAATTAATGAAAATAAGATTTTTTGCCTTAAAAGTTGATTTTATTTGACTTCGGTCAATATTTTTGGTAAACGGGCCCGGATCCGTGTTTTGACGGTCCCGGTGGGCCCGTATCAAATTATGGGACCTGGGCGTATGCCCGAAATCGAATTCGGAGGTCCCTAGTTCGAGTTATGAATTTTTGATGAAAATTAAAAGTCTGAAAATTATTTGTTTTTAAGAATTGAGTGATCGTTTGGCATTGTTAGTACCGGGTTCGTATTTTTGGTTCCGGAGCCCGGTACGGGTTCATTATAATATTTAAGACTTATTTGTGAAATTTGGTGAGAAACGGAGTTGATTTGACGTGATTCGGACGTCCAGTTGAGAAGATAGGAATTTTGAAGTGTTCTTGAAAATTTCATTTGATTTGGTGCTAAATTCGTAGTTCTAGGTGTTATTTTGGCGATTTGATCGCGCGAGCAAGTTCGTATGTGTGCATGTTTGATTTGGAGCCCCGAGGGCTCGGGTGAGTTCCGGATAGGCCACGGGATGTTTGGACTTTGGAAAATCTGGTTTTCTGCAGATTCTGGCATGTCCTTCTTCGTGTTCGCGAAGGTACTCTCGCGAACGCGAAGAGTAAACTGGTGAGGCTGAAATTTCTTCTTCGCGAACGCAAAGGCATGGGGGATTTACCCTTCGCGAATGCGACCGGCTTATCGCGAGCGCGAAGCACTTGGGGATCTGGGGGAGGGTTGGTCGTTCCTTCATCGCGAACGCGAGCAATGTCTCGCGAACGCGAAGGCTAAGGGGAGTAACCATCGCGAACGCAAGCAAGGTCTCACGAACGCGAAGGCTTGGCAGCCAATACTCTTCGCGAACATGATAATGGCCTCACGAACGCGATGCACACTGTCGCCCAGTGCATAAAACAGAATCAAGAACGGGAATAAGCCATTTTTCCAACTTTCATAAAAACAGAATCAAGAACGAGAATTCTGATCTAAGTGGTCTTATTCTTTGTCCGAATCATCACTCCTCTTTTTGGAATCAGGAATATGCTGATATGATTAATTAGTTTGTGCGCCTCTCTTATTACTTTTTTGTGTAGAGCTGTCAAGGGTAAAATTGTGTACTGCCTGCCTGGAATGGTTATTTGTCTTATTACCTAAATGGATGGATCAGAATTCCTGGTTTAGTCAGGTCTGTAAATGCATTGTCACTGAGTTTGTAAGAAAGGTTGAGGGAACTGAACAAGTCGATAAAAAGGACATTAGATTGGTGAATCCCAAAGTGCATTTCCCATTGATCTCTATCTTCGTATCTTGGCCATGTCATTTGAGCCAATCTTGGTACCTCTTGAGCATAGGATCAGGGTTTGTGATACTTCAGATAGTGCTGCTCAAGATTTGCATTAGTGATCAGACGTTGGCAGAAAGTTCAAGCGAGTATTTATCATGAAGGGAAATGCCTTCGTTGCTAGTTAGCTGGAGTGTTTCTCTATCTTCATATCAAAGGAGCGTTTAATGCACGCTTAAGCCCTGAAGCGAGGCTCAAAACATGTTGATCGCTTTGCCTCGCTTAGCGGGCACTTCAGTGTTATCATCAAGGCTCTAAGGCATACTTTTCTTTTGCCGATGAGCGTAATCCTGAAGAGGCGACACTAAACAATTGATATTTCACTTTGTCATAAATTTTCTTTCTGTTTCTTTGTCCATATATTTGGTATTCATGTTTATAAATATTAGTCTTGGACAACACATACATATTTATTGTTTTTCTCTATTTGCGCCTTTCTTCGTCAAAGCACACGCTTTATTTGCGCTGAAAGCCCCCAGCAGACTTCGGAGCTTGTTTGCGCTTTTCGCCTTTGATAACACTGGATTAAAATTGTGTTGGTGGTCAATCGAGCCGTGATATGTGTCTCAGATGCTCGTGCATACATAAAGCTCTAGTTGGTACTTGTTCTCATTCATGTGTTCTTAAATCTTGATGGCTTGGTTGCTCGTCTGACTTCATCATTCCTTAACATCCTGTTTATATGTGAATTCGAAGAGGAGTTCAACACTCTTTGGTTGCACAAATGAAGGGATACAGTGCCACAGGAATGTGCTAGGCAGGCATTTATGTACTGGAGACTGGAGTTTGATTTGGAAACAGTATGTTTGATAGTATCACTCTACTTTAAATATAGGACTCCACGTTATTTTACATTTCTGGAATTGTTAACATTATTGAGTTAGAGAAGAAACAAGGAAAACAACTATGGATAGTGAAATTATGGCACTGAGCATAATTTTGCTGTTGATATCATATTTGTTTTTGCGGTGATGAGTAAATGGATTATCATCTTAATCGAAGCCCTTATTGAGGCTGCAGACTACAGATTCGTTCGACCATCTTTTTGAAGAAGGGGTAGGTTTTTTTATGTTCAGGACTTAGGTTTTTTAATGTAAGTAAAAGTTTTTTTTATGTGTTTGGTAATGTTAACATATGTGTACGTATTGACTAATGAAAAACGTGTTTTCATGGAAAATGAAAGGAAATAAACAATGAAACTGTATAAGCACACATTTTCAACCATTGACTTGTTGAATATTTTATGCTCCTATTTAACTTGCTAAAAGTTTTCTCAGCAACAGTTAGAAGAGAAGTTTACGCATATTTTCCTTTTGACAATATGTCAAATCAGAAAGACCAATCTTGTTTTCCCCTTCTTTTTTAGTATAATATTGTGATGAATTATGAATTTAAATGGATAAATATGGTTTATGAGGATTCATATAATATAATATTAAAGGCCAAACCCATAAGCGGCCCTTTAAGTTTGCTCCGTTTTTCATTTTGACACTCCAACCACTTCATGTGTTATTTAAACACAAAACACTGACATGCGCTTATATCTCATGCGCGTTTTCATAACCGCTGCCCACATGTAAAGTTAGCGAATTATTTTCTGCCACTTGGATTAATTATCCACGTAACTCCCTACCAGAAAATATGAACTCGTACCATGTAAATAACCCAAACTCACTTAAGTAAAATAACCCACACCCACTTAATTTCCCAAATGCAAAATAACCCACACCCACTTAATTTCCCAAATGCACACATCGTGTCTCTCACCTCGCAAAACCAAAATCTAAAGCCGTAGGAGATGAATCCATAACCATGGATTCTCGGTTAAAAATCAGGAAAGAAGAAGAAACTAACAAATTAGGGCAATAGGGTTCACTTTCCTATTAATTACGACTAAAGCTTCGACAAATTGCAGAAAAGAAAGCAGTCTTTGAATATTCATGGAGATGGAGCTTTTGAGAATTAGGGTTTTTTTACATTTGATAATGGAGAAAGGGTAGGGGAAAGTCGAGTATAAATGGGACTCCAACGGTAAAATTTAATAATGTTAAAAGGGGAGTGATTTTACCCCTCCTAGAGGCCTCACGCGTGACGAGGATCACTCACAGTGTTTTGTGTTTAAATGACACATGAGGTAAGGAGTTGGAGTGTCAAAATGGAAAAGGCATGAGTAAAGGTGTCAAAATAAAAAGCGGAACCAACTTAAAGGGGCCGCTTATGAGTTTGGCCAATATTAAATAAAAGACCTTTCAGGATGACCGAGTTGGTTGAACATGGGATTTCTCAAATGGAACTTCTCATATGTCGTCATATGTGCAGTTGAAAGGGTGTGTATGACAGTATGAGTTAAAATATATATATATATATATATATATATATATATTTGATGCTGCTCATTCCTCATCATTTTGTGCTCATAAAATGATGGGTCCTCTTCAAAGGAATGTTATTTCGGTACTTACGAATAATACATTATGTAATCTATATTTTATTCGAGAGGGATCAAGATTAATTCTCAATCTTAACCACGTAGGCAGTCTTGTCAATATTGAAGTTTTAGTTTCCCTAACATATATAGTTCAAAATAAACTTGTATACTAATTGTCAGTTTCGATTTTCATGTTGTATTCCATTTAATAACATCAAAATAAGCTCCTCCCTGCATGCAGACAAGTAGGTCAATAAAATCACAAATTCACATGCCATTTGCACAAACAAAGAAAAAGCACAAGGTATTAGAGTTCTACCCGAATTGTCAATTTAGTCTTTACAAGTTCAAGAACATATGTCAGTAAAGGACCAACAACTGAAAAATAAGTATTAATGCTTTATAATTTTGCAGGTTTTAACCATGGAACTGAATCATCAATCCATCAATATTCAACTAATAAATTTAATTGCAAATAACTGCTGCTGAAGAGTGTTATAAGTCATCATTATATTTTTCGATTATCAAAAATAACATTAACCTTTGTTACAATCCTCACCAATTATGTTTCATATGCAATAATACATATTTCCTGCAACATAATAAATAGGAAGGGAAGGACCTATGTGTTTCCTAATGAAAACAAGGTTTTCTGGTAAATTTCAAAACCCACTGCGTCTCGGCAAAGTCCAATATTAATTCTCCTTTCTCTAAAGCATTTTCCTTTTAGGTCATAGAAGACAAACCTATTTGACCAACCGCCAACTATTATTTCTTCATTCCATGTCCTCAAGATAGGTGAATTACACCCGAGCCCAACCAAATTGATGCTACACTCCTTCACCCAAATGCAACTTATTTTATCTTTAAGTATCCACAGGTCTAGAGTTGAACTCCACATATCCATATCTGGCAGGCAAAGTATCCCTTTCAAATCCACCATTCTCAACTCCATAACCTTATTATAAGATGATGGGCAAGATATAGTTAGAAATTTTCCATTTTCAAAGTCAAATGATAAAATTTGATCGCAAAAAGAATTCATATTATTCGGCCAATACATACATTCATTTACTAGCAGTCCTGGACCATACGGACCACATGGAGGAATCTCAGCAATTTCTTTCCATTCACTAGAAATAATGCCATTTAGGGTAAGCACCTTGCCTCTTAGCTGAGATCTCCAATCATTAATCTCGGGATCCCCATTGAAAACACGCACCACTTTATATTCCTTAGTTGAACGAAGATATCCAAACCCAAATTTGTCACTTCCATCAAAAACAGTAGGTGAACATTTCGGCAATTCAAAGAATTGTTGCTTCACAGGATTGCACAAATACATGCGATGATCACCCATTGAAAAGAAAACTAAACCAGCGGAAACATGGAAACCGGAAAGGCCGGAACATGGGAAACGAGATAAAGTGACAGCGTATAACTCATTGCTTTCTCCCTCATTTCCTTCCATGTCGACTGAAACAAACCGTAGTCTGCGCCTCTTTGACCGTGGCAAATAATTGAGTTGCAGAAAAAGAAGTTGGGAAGTTTCCGTTGAATGTTCCAGGTGAGAATGAACGAACAAAGGACTAGCAATCAAGTTATTCCACGACTTTGATGCGCACCTTAACATGGATAACGTATTCACCGGGCATCTTATAAAAATAGAGCTTATAACATCAACAGGTAGCTTGTTAAACTCATTATTATTATTCCCCTCCTCTGTACTTTTCCTTAGTATTGACTTGTTAGGCTGCAATAGCATCAAACCACAACACATATTACGATATTTTCAATTAAACCCAATATCATTCAGCAAAAAACTTCAATCAATACGCTAAAAATTAATCTAAACCCTTGACAACTTGTTTGGATATATGGTTGTTATGTATCGTTTCAAAATGTATCATAATCGTATTATATTGCATTGTACTGTATCGTTTTGATATATTCAATGTTTGGATATATAGATTGTATTTTTTTCATCGTTTTATAATGTCATGCACCAATACTACGAAGAATAAACTTAAAATATTACCCATAAGAAAAAAAGATACGAATAAAGTAGAATATAAAAAAATAGGGTAAAGAATAAATAGAATTGTACGTGGACCTTGTTAGTTCATTTTTTATCAAAATCAAACCAAACCAACTATATAGGTTTGGATTGGTTCGGTTGTATCGGGTCTTTCGGTTATATAAATATTATTTAAATCTTACTTTGTTAAAGTTAGAGATAAAATTTGATAGGTGAATATATGCTTAGTAAAAAAAATGACAAACATTGTAACACATGATAGTTATTTTCTTAATCGTCTAACAAAAAATTTTCATTGATGTATGCTTTCAAGGTTAACCGAATTTAATAATTAAACATAAAAATCAATATGAAACCTAAATAATGATATTTAAGTTTAAAATTATTGAAATACCATTTCAAATTCGAAAAAGATATAAGAATTAAATAGATCTTGACATATGAATATAGAAAAACAAAGAAATTTACGCATATCAATAATACTTGATAAGAAAGTAATGATACAATCCATTATTAAAAATAAATAAAATGGAAGCACTTCATAGTTCTATTAAATAATAGATCCTATGATCCTATGAGAGGTTCCCTAATATTTCTAGATATATTTTTAAAGAAAATTCTATATAAAGACTTAAAAGTATATATAAATAGATCTTGACATATGAATATAAAAGAATAAAGAGATTTACGCATATCAATAATACTTGATAAGAAAGTAATGATACAATCCATTATTAAAAATAAATAAAATGGAAGCACTTTATAGTTCTATTAAATAATAGATCATATGATCCCATGAGAGGTTCCCAAATATTTCTAGATATTTTTTTAAAGAAAATTCTATATAAAGACTTAAAAGTATATATAAAAATTATATATTTATATATCGGTTTGGTTTGGCTTTTTTACTCAATACCAAACTTAATCGATTTGGTGCGGTTTTCCGATTCGGTTTGAACATCCTTAGGCGCGACCAAACCAAATCGGTCGCTTACATAAAATGATACTTTTCGTTATTATGTAACGGCGAATTTAACAATATGATACCATAACATTTAAAACAAATATTGTATTTAAAGTAATAATGCGATACAATACAATATGTAACAACCATCCAAACAAGTTGTTATAGTATAAAATCAAAAGGCTAATAAATATTGTATCAAAAGAAGGTAGCTACCTTTTTTTGCAGTTCCCAGTTCTGAAATTTTACCCGTCTACCTCGAGTAACAGTAAACTCCTTCATAGTTTCAGTATTCTTTTGCTATGCCGCAAGGAAAGAGATGAAGGAGAATGTGGCAGGGCATAACAGGCGATATAAATAAGAAATAAAGCCCAGGTTTTGTCGATTGGGCCTTCGACTATAAAAGTATAGATTAAGACACAAGCCATGCCTATTCATCACCGACACACAGGTAAAGGCAGAAAATAAATTTTTGAATGCTAAATTTGCTGAATAATCAGAGAAACATGGTCTGCTGGAACCACTACTATGAGTATATTTTCTGGTATAAGTTTTGATTCATAAAAGGACATAAGGACATGTCGAAGATGCCACGAGCATGTGTCACACTTTAAAACAGACCCCATTAATCAATAAAGGTAAGTCAATGATCATCAACTATCATCACAAGTAATGCCAGAAAAATCCGAGTGGTAAGCTTACAGAATAATCTAAAGGCCCAGGGAACAACAAATAACAGAACAGAAATATTACATGCTAACCACAAGGAAACAAAGTACCCTAAAGAAGTTCTGTAAGGATTTCAAGTCACCTGTGCCAACCTTCCCAGGGCAAAGGCTGACATTTCCCTAAGTTGAGCATCCGGAGATTGGAGCATCTCAATTAGTGGTGGTACAGAACTTCTTTGCACAATGTGTATCTACAAAACCATCACAAAAGATTAAAGCATAAATCAGATAAAGTTGCTTTAAATGATAATAAATCAAGAGTTTTACAACTCTTCGTGACATTAACAGAGTACATTGGTATCATCAACCTTGCAATCTGTGTTGGTTGCTGCAAATTATCCAAGCAATAAAGCAGCTTCCCTTTGACTCTCCGAACAGGAGGAACTATCATATAAAAAGACTTATACTGAGAGGCCATAAAGAGGAAAAGAAAAAGCAAATCATAGAACATCTAGGTCATCTATGGAACCCTGCATATGATAAGCAGCTAAGAAGTAGAAGCTGTACATGACCAGCCACTCAAATTATTAGATCCAACTATACCTAAGCAACCCAATGACAGGTTGTAAAGCTCCAGCAAGAACTTCCTTTTTGATATTTGATGATGAGTGCACCAGATTTCCAATGACTCCAACCTGTCATGCCACAATTTTGTTACGTCTAAGGAAGATTATCACTTGAAGCATTGCCAGAACTTTATACCTACTTAAATATGAAACAAAAATAGAAATAGTATTATGAACTTGTAAAATGATGCCTAACCGCTTCATACTGTATGCCCGTATCTTTGGACCGCAGCAATAGAATAAGAATAGGTAGTACATTGCAATCAACAATCTGAAATCAATTTGGAGAAATTCTCCCATTAGAACAGATAATGCAAGAAGTTCAAAGATAATTTCCATAAATCAGAATGAAGCTACTAACCTGATTTTTGTTTTCATCGTTTTTAAATGCCAAAGTTCGCAAGGCTCCTGCAGCTGCTCTTTGCACCTACGAATCAACAAACTCAATCAATTCAACAAGAGGAGGAATACAACCTTCAATCAATACACATACAAAATACAGATGAAGTATGAACAACATGTCTTCTTTTGATTTTTTATTTAGAAACCCAAAATTTCAGAGAACAAAGAAATTAACCTGCTGCGACTTTTAATGCTGTTATTAAGATTGATGATTGCATCAACTGCTCTCCGGCAACACCATTGACTGCACAAGGTTTTGTGCTTTCTTGTGCCTCTTCAGCAGATCCACAAGATGGGGCAGAGCTCCAGCATCAACAATGAGTTGCTGTTGCTCCGGCTGTTTAAAGACACAGTAACAGTTAAAAACAAACACTTAATAAACGAAGGTACATACAGGATAGACTAGAAATCCAAATTCCCGTTGAGCAAAAAAGAACTGATAAGAAACACAAGTATGCAATCATTCTACTGTCATTGCTAATGCATCTTTTTCAAAAGTGGCAAGAGAGTGTGCACAATTAAACCAAATGATACATGCAAATATGCAAGTAAAACCAAAATACCAATTGAAGTGGAATGTATTCAATAACAAGACATAGCTCCTATTCTGTAAGCAAGGAAGCTCGTGTATTCAATAACAGAACATAGCTCCTGTATATGCTGAAGTGCAGATATTATGGAGCAATTCAAAGAACATATATAAATACGATTCCAGATACTAACTTTTATGGCAAGAAGCCCAAGTGTAAAAGCACTTCCTTTCTTGATCTCATGCCCGTACGGCATCTGTCCACTATCTCCTAATTCACTCCCGAGGGACGGCACCTTAGGATGCTTCACCAAAGCTGGAACAGCACCACAGTCTACAGCCACATTCACAAATTCCTCTGCAACACAAAAATCCTCAAATATCAAAAACCAAACTCTCAGTCCCAAACTTATTGAAATAAACTAATCCAACTCTCTACATGTACACAGGGATGGCTCTATCTCAACACTTTGCCGTACTCAAACTTTCCACTAGAATTAAGTTTTATTTTTCAGAAAAAAAAATTCAATTAATATATTTAAATTTTAACTTTAAAAGTTAGTCGAATTAACTGTCAATAAGCAGAAAAGTGCCAAACAGTTGATTTAACTTGACACTAGCCGATATTCAAACTATACGAATTTACTAACATTTGTAATGAATTTTTTTCATACAATACAATACTTTTCGTGCAGTTTTTAGATATTTAAGTTCTATATTTCTAGAAAAAAATTCAATTAATCAAGTCCAATTTAACTTCAAAAAATTAGTTGTTAACTCTACACTTCTCCATATTCAAACTACACAATTTTTACTAACAGTTGCACTGAATTTTTTCATATAACACAATACTTTTCGTGCTGTTTTTGGATATCTAAGTTCAAAATTTTCAGGAAAAAAAATGAAATAAATCTAGTCCGAATTAACTTCAAAAAATTAGTTGAATCAACTCTCGATAAGCAGAAAAGTGCCTGTAAAATGAAAAAATAACTGATCCGGTATAAATGAAAAGAGAAACTAGACTTTGAGTTTTACCGTTCTTAGCTAGCTCGAAGAACACGTGAATAGCACGTTTTGCGGAGGCACGATCAGCTTCAGTTGAAGAGAAAGTAGACTCGATAATGTCGACCTGCGTACGGACCTCAGGAGAAGAGAGTTTGCGATAGTCTTCGAAATCTACGTCTAGCTTTCTCTTCAACCTTCTTCTACTCCACGAAGATTGTTGAGAGAGAGGCAGTGGTGCGTGTGGGAGAGTATGACACAGTGTAATGAGTGTGTGTTCGGGGGTAGTTTAGGGACATAAATGTTAGGAACTGCTCCATGTGCGTTGAAAAAAATGTGACTGGCGTTTTGGTTTTTACGGCGTTTTCGGAAAAAATGGTTTGAACATTTTGCTGTCTCTCGAAGTTGATAGAACTCAGTATCGCTTTCTATTGGTATTAGATTTTTATGACTAATCGTTTATACGCGTTTTCTTCATTGTTGATCATCTTATTATCTTTTTATTTTTATTCTGCTTTTATATGACTTTTTGGTACTGTCTCTTTTTATCTATATTTTTATTAATATGATACTTCATTAATATGTTATTTATATTGACTGCCGAGTGTCTATTGAAAACGGTCTATCTATACTTCACAAGTTAGGGTAAAAATATCTTGTTGTTTTTGTTGTCTCCCGCCATTATTTCCCTTAAGAGTCTTTTAACGGGCCAAGAATGGCCCAGAAAACACAAACCCAAACCACCTCATTTGGGCCTGGTTAAGCCTTGGGCCATAGAGTTTTGACATCTTTGAGGGAATTGTACAGATAGCCGATTTCGGGACATCCATTTAAGGCATAGCCGAAGTTCCACTTAAATCAAATCAACTTCAGACGCGTGAGTCTGAATTTTAAAAAGAAAATTTTACCTCCTACCGCAAAGGTATACACCATATTTATTATAAACCAAAATTATTTTAAAATATTATTTTCTATAGCTACATTTTATATTTTATAGCAAAATAAGTATTTTATAGTATATACTACCATTGAGGCATGAAATACGCTATTTATGTTTTTCATCTCTCTTAGACAACTGGACATACCTATTTTTAAGGGATTGACGTTACTGTATTCATGAATACATGGCGTGAATACATGTGAATACATGCGCGTACAGTTGTATTCATGAATATAGCAACTTGAATACATGTGAATACATGCGCGTACAGCTGGACTGCCCTGATTTTAGGCACTTTTTACTACTGTATTCATGAATACAGCAGCGCGAATACATGTGAATACATGCGCGTACAGCTGTATTCATGAATACAGCAACTTGAATACATGTGAATACATGCGCGTACAGCTGTATTCATGAATACAGCAACTTGAATACATGTGAATACATGCACGTACAGCTGGACTGCCCCTGACGTTAGGCACTTTTTACTACTGTATTCATGAATACAGCAGCGCGAATACATGTGAATACATGCACGTACAGCTGGACTGCCCCATATTTTAGGCGCTTTTTACTGTTGTATTCATGAATACATGGCACGAATATATGTGAATACATGCGCGTACAGCTGGACTGCCCTGATTTTAGGCGCTATTTGTTGTTGTATTCATGAATACAGCACCGCGAATACATGTGAATACACTACCGTAACAACTTAATAGTAGTTATCGGAGGTAATTATGTATATGGTACCTATAGGAAGTTAATAGCCACTAAACAATAGTGGTTTCTCAAAATTCCTCTTTAAAAAATATGTGTCTAAAGTTCGGCTGTCAAAGACTAACTTCAATCAATTAGGATGCAAGCACAACTTCAAACGTCTTTGTCTGAAATTTGGCCTAGCGATAGGTTAAATGGGAGCGTCCAAATAAGCTGGCCTATTATTTAGAATATGTTGAAACACATCTCTAGATAGAGTGCAATGAATATGGAGAAGATCAACAGTCAACTTCAACTAAGTTTCGAACTGGGACTTAGTTGGTCGATTGAATTTGACGTATATATTACTATATATGGTCAAAACCGTTTTCAACCTTCGTACGATTGGTGAAGATGGACCGAAGAGCGTCTTCATAATATTGAGGTGAGATTTGAAGAAGTCACGAACAAGCTTTGAGTTTCGGAGTCAGATTAAATACCAAGCTCGACGCCATTATCGAGTTCGAGTCCAAATCGAACTATGCTAAGAAGTGACGGAATCGAGCTTAAGAGCCAAAACCGGACCCCGAGTCAATATCGAACTCAAGCCCACATCGAGCTCTAAGCCTGAAAACCTACCGATACTAAGTCCAATCAAGATTGAGCCAAGAGACAGGAGCCATTACAGTCACACTAAGAAAGGGAATCTCTTCGGAAATTAGGGAAAAGATGATTTATCATGAGTTTCCCACAATGTATTTTTTATTATATCTAAAGTAGGATCCCTCCACTATAAGAGGGATTGTAATTATTTCTGTAGAGGAGAGGTCATAAATACACTGTAACTCAAATACTGTTGAGACATTCTCATATTCAGAGAATATCCTTTTTAGCTCCATACATAATTCCATTTTGCTTGTTCATAAATCATTTTCCTTTCAACTCAGTTTGTTTCTTTTATTTGTAGTCAATATTCGATATTTCTACATACTCTTTACGATTGGTGTCAAATTATACCACATACCCTTAGAACTACGTACAAATTCAACTACATCTTGGTGCCCACCGTGAGGCTAAGGATAACAGTGGTTATTTGATACGAATCTGCAAAACACACCATTTTACGCTTGTTTTCGGAAGTGTCTTTGATTTCGGATTAGCAACAACGAGCTATCAATTAAATGGCCTTACCCATCGACAACGAAGTTGGCCTTCAAGGTGAGAACAACAACTTGACGCCTAGGACTGAAATACCGCTTGTCGACTTCGTTGGAGCTCGAGTCGAAGTGCTATTAGACGTTAATTGCATGTGGCCATTGAGGCAAACCTACGTTCTGAACCTGAAAATAGCATTCACGGTGGTACTCGATCTACAGCCTGAGATACGCATAACGTTGATGAAAACGGAATCAGCTTGCGCATGATTTTTGAAATGTTGCAAGCTCAACAAGCAGCAATAGCTCAGTTGCAGAGTCAAACCTAGATACTGAGCCCAGTCCACCCCGAGAAGTCACCCACGTAATGGAACCAGCTATAGTAAGGTCAAATGAGCAAGAGTCGGGGACGAATCCCGAAATTACTAAGATGTTCGAAGAACTGACCAAACGAATAGAATCAGGAGAAAGGGGGATCGAGGGAAACGACAAAAAGGTGGAAACCTATAACTCTAGGGTTGATCAGATATCGGGGGAACCACCGATATTGAAGGGGCTAGATTCCAAAAAATCCGTACAAAAGCCTTTTCCCCCAAGCGCGGCTCCTAAACTGATCCCAAAAAAATTTCGCATGCCTAAGATTCCTAAATATAACGGAACTACCGACCCCAACGAACATGTTACCTCTTACACATATGCCATTAAAGGGAACGATCTAGAGGACTATGAAATCGAATTTGTATTATTGAAGAAATTCGGTGAAACCCTGTCAAAGGGAGCAATGATATGGTATCATAATTTACCATCTAATTATATCGATTCGTTTGCTATGCTTGCAAATTCTTTCGTAAAAGCATATGTTGGGGCCATAAAGGTCGAGACCAGGAAGTCAGTCCTATTCAAGGTAAGACAAAAGGATAACGAGATGCTAAAGGAGTTCGTATCTCATTTCCAAATGGAACGAATGGATCTACCACCAGCCACATACGACTGGACTGTTCAGGCTTTCACTCAAGGTTTGAATGAACGAAGTTCGATGGCTTCACGGCGGTTAAAGAAAAACCTGATTGAGTATCCTGCTATTACTTGGGCTGATGCGTACAATCGATATCAATCCAAAATAATCAATTATTAAAAAGGCTACCAACCGAGAACAAAGGTCGATCAGAGACCGATACCGGCCGTATAGTGGAAATCCTACAAGCTCGGTGTGATAAATGACAATCAACTACCAAGTAATTGGAACGTGTCACACCTAAAATGATACTATTGCTAAGGTACGATCCTCCCATGTTCAATTATATTTCAAAACTAACCCTTGCAGGTGCTCGACCAAAGACAAGGATGGATAATTCAACTTGAAGCCTTTAGGCCAGAAAGCATGCGTTGCACTCTTTTTCCCTTAGATCGATTTTTGTCCCAAATGGATTTTTCTGCAAGGTTTTTTAATGAGGCAGCCATTGATCGTGCTAACTTGGAATCACTCAACTGTATCCGAGGCCTCCTTACAATCAACCTCAAATACTGGGGGGCATTGTCATCGAATATATCAATGATGATTATCAAGTTCGGTGCAAAGGAAGTTACTTCGTTACTTCATGGCAATGAGGTCTCGATAAGAAAAATTATAAGGGCCAAATGGTCAAATGAGCCATGCCCATGTAGTTGGCCCGAGCCCTGGAACAAAACATGAATACATGTATAATGACTTACAAAGAAAATTTTTGAGCTTTACCGATATCATATATCCAAGACAAATTCCTCTATTTCGAGATCTATTATGCAAACAGGCTTAAGGGCCGACCATTACCCCATAAATCGGGGACCGCCAACCGAAAAATCAACAAGTTCGAGCAACCATTCTCACTCGGGGACTATCTACAAAGTCCAAAGGCTACCCTATTCTGAGTTCGAGCAACATTCACTCGATTATAAAGCCTAAGGGCTACACCGACTCGAGTTCGAGCAACCATTCTCACTCGGGGCCTATCTACGGAGCTCAAGGGCTACCTTATTTTGAGTCAGAGCAACTCCTCATTCGACTACTAAACCTACGGGCTACATTAATTCGAGTTAGAGCAATCACTCACTCAACTACTATGCCTACGAGATACATTACTTCGAGTTCGAGTAAACACTCACTCGACTACTAAGCCTACGGGCTACATTACTTCGAGTTCGAGTAAGCACTCACTCTATTACTAAGCCTACAGGCTATATTACTTCGAGTTCGAGTAAATACTCACTTGACTACTAAACCTACGGGCTATATTACTTTCGAGTTCAAGCAATCACTCACTCAACTACTAAGTCTAAGGGCTAATCTTATTTCGAGTTCGAGCAATCACTCACTCGACTACTAAAGCCTACAGGCTACATTACTTCGAGTTCTAGCAATCACTCACTCGATTACTAAGCCTACGGGCTACATTACTTCGAGTTCGAGTAAACACTCACTCGACTACTAAGCCTACATGCTACATTACTTCGAGTTCGAGCAAGCACTCACTCGACTATTAAGCCTAAGGGCTAC